AAAAACTAAACACAGCATCTCTGATGACTATACGCTGCTTATAAAATCCACGCCTCCCTTCTCATCTGCCATTCATATTTATTTTTCTTAAGCCTAGTAAAATAAAATTACCACTTAATATTTATGAAATAACCATTAAAATGCAAGCATTATTTTAAGCAGTTTATGTACTAATTCACTAATTCCATTAGGTGAGTAATATTCTCTGTTTTAAAGTAAGAAAAGTAGGGCCGGCCAAATAGCTCAGCCCATTAAAAAGACTGGAAGCAGGTGCAGGGGCAGGGGATTAGATCCCCAGGCCTGCCGCCAGTCCTGCCCCCAGGACATGATGAGACGGCAATTGAGACTGGGCATGGTGGTACGCCTATAATCCCAGCTCGCTGGAGGCTGTAAACAGGCACACCACAGGGCCAGGGAGATAGCTCAGTAGAATAAGCACTTGCCTGGCAAGCACAAGGGCCTGAGTTCAATCCCCAGTTCCTCAAACAAAACAAAACAGGTGGATCACTATGAGTCTAATCTAGTAGTAAGACCCTGTAGACCCTTCCCTAAAATACAAAAAAATAAAAATAAAGAAAAGTACTTTGTCTAACTGAGTAAGTGGTAGACTCAGTTGGAAAACCTACATTCTATACCCTTATCCTCATATTCCAGCTTTTTACTGATACCTACATATGCTCAGGATTGTCCTAGAGACTGAAAGTGAACCTGACAAACAGGATCCATGTGCTCATGGGTTTTATGTGTTATGAAGATTTAAAAAATACATATATTATAATTATTTTAAAAGATGGGTAAGAAAACTATGGTTTTATGATAGAAAATAAGGCAGGTGAATCAATGATGTCTCAAGGCTTCCCTGAAAAATGACTTTTAAGGTGAGGTATTTTCACAAGGAATTTCATAAGAAGATTGATTCAGGAAGGTGCCAAGCCTACAAAGAGGAGGGATATACCCAAAAGGCTACTGCTTTGTGAAGAAGCACTAAGATAATGGCATGGGCTGAATTGTGTTCTCTAAAATTCCTATGCTAAATTCTTAATCTCCACAGTGACTGTATTTGAAACAGGACATAAAGAATGGGGCCCTAACCTGACAGGACTGGAATTTCCCATGAAGAAAGGAACAGACGCCAGACCCATGTCTGTCTGTCTGTCTGTCTGTCTCTCTCTCTCTCTCTCTCTCTCTCTCTCTCTCTACACACACACACACACACACACACACACACACACACACAAAGAGCATACAAGGAAATGCCAAGAATGTGGCTGTCTGCAAGCTAGGAAAATACGCCTTACTAGAAACCAACCCCACTGGCACCTGGCACCTTGACTTCAACCTTCCAAGAACTGTGAGAAAACAAATTTCCTCTGTTTAAGCCACATGGTATTTCCTTACAGCACCCCAAGCAGACTTAAGCAGACATGAAAGACCCAGGTATTTTGCAGGTACTGACAAAATCAATATGCTGTGATATACAAAGGAATGATAATAAGATATCAAAGACTCCTAAGGTCATAGAGAATATATAAACCTGAAATAAGATGAAAAAGTCCTTGAAAATAGTCCTCAGAAAAATAGTCCTTTAGACAGATGTTTGAGCTGGTTGATAGGTGGATTTGAAATATACGCTGAGGGCATTTTGTCAGTGACTAGAAATCACTAACATACAGTTAAGAATGCCATCACCTTGGAATTAGAAATAAGTCCTACACAACCAAGAACTGCACTCTCTCAAAATGTTAACAATGTCCCATTGAGAAACAAAAGCTAAGAAATTTGTTTATTCAAGGAACTATACAAAAGCAAGACTTGGAACTTTTAAACAACTTCTTACACCACTACAGATGACCCTGACCTAATTTTGGTGAATTAATAAACATGTATTGTGACTATAAGTAGAGAATGGCACTGGATAAGGTAGAATATGTGCAAATGAATCAGACACCAATTCCAGGTATAAGACCAACAATAAGACTATCTGTTATCATATTTAATCAAGATACAGTGCTAGCCAGGATAAGAATCATTACTTTATGTACAATTGTGACAGGAATAATATTAAGCAAAGCAGAGTATGCCACCAATTTTTTTTTTCTTTCTTTTTTTGGTGGAACTGGGGACTGAACTCATGCCTTTGCACTGGCCAGGGAAGCGCTTATTCTACTGAGCCATCTTCTCGGCCATGTAACACCAATTTTAAGGGTTTTGTATTTTAAGGAAGGGTCTACAGGGTGCTCAGGGTCTCGCTAGTAGGTCGCACTTGTAGTGATTCTCCTGTTTACAGCCTTCCAAGTGCTAGAATTACAGGTGGGGGCACCACGCCCAGTCTCAATCACTGTCTCAGCGCACCCCAGGGCCAGGCTGGCATAGCAGGCCAGGGGATTGAACCCCTGGCCATCTGCTGAGCTATTTGGCTGGCCCTTTAAGTTATATCTTAATTTCAGGGTTTTTTAGTAAAAAAAAAAAAAAAAAAAAAATAGATGATATATAGTAAAGAACATGAAAATAGCTAAAATACGAGTCAATGGAGAAGTTACATTAAAAAGTTTTATATAAGGGATAAGAGATAAAACATATCCAGGTCTAATCATCATTTCATACAGAAGGTAATACACTGACTTTTTCAATTATTTTTATTAGCACATGCTTGCAGTATATAAGTTTTGAAGAATGCATAGAAATCAAGTGCAGAGACTGAGCAGAGGAATATTTTCAGAAAGACAACTGCAGAAGTAAAGAAGAGTAATAGTATAATAAGGATTGCTAGAAAGAAATATGTACAGAGAAAAAAGAATGACTGCAGTTGGCAGAACTCTGAATGCAATGAGGCTAAGAGGTTGGAACTGAGCATAGGCTTCTGAGGAAAAGTACTCAACTGCTTTTTACAACACAGTGCTACCTTTCAGGGATATATCACAAACACGGCTCATTCTATTAGTAATTCTTCACTGTACAGTAAGAGAGAGAAGCAGAAGAGATTCACTTTTGTGAGTACTGTTTGAAAAAGTCCTCCAAAAATCCTTACTGCTATTCCACCACCGTGAATCACTGCACTCAGAAAGCCCTAGAAAAATTTAAGTAACCAATTAATCTGGCTTACATTTCAAGAAAGGTAGTACCTTATTAGGTAAAAGTGAATGAGAATTAGAATCAGGACTGAGAATTTAATGGCTGGCCAAATAGCTCAGCAGATTAAAGCACCTGTAAGCAAGCACAAGGGCCGAGGTTTGATCCCCAGGCCTGCCATGCCGGCACCACCCCCAGGGCGCACTGAGAGGGCAATTGAGACTGGGCATGGTGGCACCCACCTGTAATCCCAGCACTTGAGAGGCTGTAAACAGGTAGATCACTACAAGTCTGATCTAGTAGTGAGACCCTGAACATCTTGTAGACCCTTCCCTAAAAAATACAAAAAAAAAGACTAGGAATTTACACGTGAAGCTGATCTTCCACATAAGAAGTTGAAATAAATTTTGTATCTGATTAGCATAGTGAGGAAAGTACATGGAAGTAGTCATGTGAAAAAGAAAAGAATAATGGCACCAATAAGTTTACAGTACAGATGCTAAGCTTGAATATGAACAACTGCATTCTTAAATGTTGGGGAGAATTCATGTGACACCTAATGTGCATTCAAGATTATAAATAATAAGAAAGTTTAAGTCTGTTAAAAGACATGAATATCATCAAAAAGAGTTAAACTATAATTTGGATGAAGCTCAAAAAAAAAGTTAAAAGGTATCATAAAGATAAATTTCTGAAATGAATATGTATAAAGAATTTAATTGTTTTATTACAAGTATTTTATCATGTATTACAATCTTATATTAATTCCTTATCAAATTTTATTATAAATTTTCAACCCAAACTTACTTTAGAATCATAAAAAGCAATACAGGGGCTGGTGAGATGGCTCAGTGGTCTAAAGCACCTACTTAGAACAAGCATAGCAAAGCACAGGGACCGCGGTTCAATCCCCCAACACCACACACACACACACACACACACACACAAATAAAATAAAAAAAAATAAATAAAAAAATAAAAAGCAACACAAAAACAGTATTTCATTAATTTCCAAACTTCCACTTATGTATGTTTACAGATGTAAACTTAGTAAAAAACAGTATTCCACACCTTTGAAAGCAGTGCCTGACAGACAACTGCCAAGAAGGTATAATTATTGGGAGAATATTTGATTTCTAAATGAGTTTATAAGCTTTATCTAAGGATAACTATTTATATCATAGCAGCAAACTATTCTCTCCTTAAAAAAATATTTCTTGAAAACCGTATACTTAAAATCATTATTTGAAAATCAGGTAACATTTCAAGTATGTTTAAAGCACAAAGACAATGCTAGCCTGCACATAAGAAAGTATGGGGTTTCTTCTTTCTTAATAAGAAAGAAAAAAATCTACAATTCTTTTCTGCTAACACTTAAAACATTTTGTAAACACACCAAATATTTTTAATTCTATTCACTTTGATTATAATATTTTCTAATAAAATTCCCTCAAGAATGTATACCATGTGTGGGTTGGAAGAAAGGAAAAAAGAAAGGAAAGAAGAAATGGAAAGAGAGAATGAGAGACAACAAATTAAAAGAGAGGCAAGCAGAAAGGAGAAGCAAAGTGGCAGAACTAGTTAACAGTGTAAAGATGGTGAAGATCACAGACAATTTGTCCAAATGTACAGGTATTTTTTTCTCAAAATACTTGGAAGTTAGATGAAGGCTACACATTAGGCAAAGCAAAAACACAAACTTCAATATGTCTAAATGATTAAGCTGCAAAGACAGATAGCAAAGTAGCATATCAAAGCATTTCCTGAGTTACTGTTATGTGACTGTCTTTTTATAAGCAAATTCTCTCAAAGGAAAAATAATCAAATAATTTTGTAAAAATATGTGTCCTACAATAACACTGTAGTTAAATTTACACATTGCAAAAAAAATTTACACATTTGCAAGGAAAAAAATTTTAAATGTGAAATACCTCAGTCTGACCTTCGTGGGCACTGGTCTCATGAGTAACTCGAATAGCCTGTAAAATAACAGAAGGTATTTATAGCAAAAGATGATCATATCCAAATTTTAAATGAAAATAACAAAAAAAGCTCGATTTTAACATCTAAAGACTAATGAATAACAAAATGGAATAAATTTAGAAATAATTTAATACTAGATATGGAAGAATGATACCTATCTAATCAAATGGACTGCTGTGCTTTCTAAGCTAAAAATCTCTGAAGACTGGAAAATACCTATTTATAATGTCCATGGTATAAGCAGAGGTCATGAAATTTATTTAGTCATTAAAACTAACACAACACTCTATTCACTTGAGAGTACAACAAAGTAAGCATGTCATAGAGAGTCTGAGAGGCCTGGCTCATCTGGTTCTCTAAGCTCCATGCTGCTCTGCTGCTCTGGCTGTATTTCTGCTTACTCATGCATTTTCAGTTGGCAATTTTGAAATGTAGAGAAAAAAGCATGCATTTGTCAGAAACTAGAGAATTTTTATTCCCTGAACATAAAAAAAGCTCTTATAATACCCAGTAGAGCAAAGAGTGCAGAAATGGATATAAACAGTAAATTACAGATAAAAGTACATTTATGAATGGCTATTTGGCAAAAAATATCAAAGCTTTAAAAACATGCAAACTGTTTCATCCAGCAATTTCTCTGCTAGTTCATATACTTTAATTTTGCAATTTACATAATTAAAGATATTTGCAAAGATGTAGTTCATGATGTATACTCCAGTATTTTTTAAATAGTAAAAAAGGAAAAAATAGGGCTGGTGAGATGGCTCAGTGGTCTAAAGCACCTACTTAGAACAAGCTCAGCAAAGCACAAGGACCACGGTTCAATCCCCCAGCACCACATGCCAGCCAGCCCCGCCCCCTGGTGGGCTGAGCTGGCCACACACACACACACACACACACACACATAAATAAATAAATAAAATTTAAAAAAAAATATTAAATTTCTAACAGTATTTTATCTGTTAAATAAAACAGCAGGGCCGGGAGATGGCTCAGTAGAATAAGCGCTTCCCTGGCAAGTGCAAGGGCCTGAGTTCAATCCCCGGTTCCACAAAAAATAAATAAATAAATAAATAAATAAAACAGCATATAATAGAAAGCTTCTAGCCATTAAATAATGTAAAATATACACTTACAGATACATAATTAATATGTTTGTAAAGTGAGTACTTTTTGTAATAAGTGAATACTGATGTTTGTAATAAGTGGGAAAAAGCCAGTTATAAGGCAGTATTACAGTGTGATTAAATTTTTATGTAAAAATACTGTGCATAAACAGACATCCACACTTTATATAGTATTAATGGCAGTTATTTCCTCATTGTTGGGGTTACTGGTAACTTTTATATTGCTTAAAACATAAAGATGTTTTGGGGCTGGGGAGATGGCTCAGTAGACAAAGCACTTCCCTGGCAAGCACAAGGGCCTGAGTTTGATCCCCAGTTCCGCAAAAAAAAAAAAAAAAAGATGTTTTATGAACTTTCCAGTTTTTAATTTAAAACAAAGTAAACTGGAATGTGAAAATACATGATCAAATCAATTACTTTACTAAGCACAAATTCTCCATAAGACATGAAGATTTTAGCCAAGTAATTTGCACATGGACTCTAATGTCAAAGAATTTATAATTTACACAATAATGTTAACAAAAGCCAAAAGTCTTTAAAAGAAGAATCTTAGTTTTCTTCTGAGACACGGTCTTGCTGTGTAGTTCAGCCTGGATCTGAACTCACTATGAAGCCTATGTTGGCCTCGAACTCAGCTCTGCCTCAGACCCAACCCTACCACTGCCAGAGTGCTGGGCTGCCACTACATCCAGCAGAGAATCAATTTTTAAGATCGTAAGTTTTAAAAAATACTTTAAAACCGCTCAATAATGTGATACAATCATTTAAAACTAAATTATATGACCTGGCTACTACTGTTGAAATAAACTATGACAATGTTACCTTTAACCCTTTTTTTGTTTTCTTTCATTTTTAGTCTTTTTACAAATTCCCAGTGAAAGACACACAGGATACTGCCAGGCATATGTTTATGATAGGGAGTGAGTGGTAAGGTATAGTCTATTATAACACATTTTCTTAATTTGCAAGCTTTTTATTAGCTCCCTCAGCTTTGGACACAGAAAAGAAGTTGCAATTTGTCACCATTTACAGATACTTCAGTTAGCTGAAAGACAATACCCATATCAGATAGGAAAAAATCTAATTTCTCAAAACCACAGCTTCAACAAACCCTTTCCCCATAAAAGCCTCTACAATCCACAAAAATTTCATCAATTAGATAAAAAAAGAAGGTACCGACGTCATAGTTCTCCAAGTATCTGGCTCGTTCTTCAGGGCTCATTGACACAGACTCCTCCAGGAATTTTTTCAAGGTTGATCCAGATTCTGAGAATATCAAGAGATATAAATGAAAAAGCTCGCAATAGTAGAGACTGATAAATAAAAATAATAGAAGTACGCTAATTGCTTTCTGGGAAAATCCTACCACTGTTAAGAATAAAAAAACCTTCATATAAACGATGGAGCTTAAATTACACGTTCATTTTGCAAGCCTTGTTTATCAACATAAACAAGAATGGGAAGGATTAGGTATGTATTCCTATTTCAAACTTAGCAACTCAGTGAGACCCTGTCTTAAAATTATGGCCATAGCATCCTGAACGCACTCGACCTTGAATAAAATAAAATAGAAAAGCAGGGCTTTGAATGTAGCTCAGTACATAGGCAGATTAAAGAAAGACAGTGGACAATTTATAGACAATTTACTCTATAATTCTATAGGTTGAAAAAAAGGATTAGAGCACCCTCTACTGCTCAATGAAATTAACATATTTTAAGGGGAAAAGACAGTTGTAATGAAACATTTACCAAAGTGCATCTTGTCTTTATTGTTCGCAATAGCATGGATCAGTCCAATTGTTCCGCAGGCATTGCTGATGGTTTGCTTCATGAAGTACACTGATGATGTAACATCTTGCCCCTGAGATTTTATTTTTTCCTCCTCTTCTGTTCTGAATACTTCATACTATTTTTTTAAAAAAAGTCAATAGTCTACATGATATAGGTACATAAGACACACAAAACAGCATATTAAAAAGGACTCAAAGCTAGACATGGTAGCACAAATCTGTAATCTCAGCTGCTTGGGAGGCTATTACTATAATAACAGCCAAATGAACACATACAAAATACTATAACTGGCTTCACTGAAAGGGTATGGAAGAATCTGTGACAGTTCTTTATTTTTTTTGTGTGACAGAGTTTCCCTATGCAGTTCAGGCTGGCCTTGAACTCACAGCAATCCTCCTGACTCAGCCTCCTGAGTACTGGGATTACAGGCATATGCCACCAGGTCCAGCTTCCTTTGTCATTAGTATGTTTAAGTCATCCACAATTCTATATTGCCTGGGAGATGACTCAGTGGAATAAGCGCTTCCCTGGCAAGCACAAAGGCCTGAGTTCAATCCCCAGTTCCGCCAAAAAAAAAAAAAAGAAAGATATTTCACAACTCCACATTTAATTTCAAAATTAGAACTTATAAATTAAGTATAAATATATGTATAGATATTTATACTTACATAAAATCTACTTATGTAGGTATAAGTACTTACATAAATACTTTAAAATTATATTCTGGCTAGCAATAAGGCCATAGGGTTTGTTTGTTGTTTTTTTAGTTTTGATGATTAGGGTTAAAAGAATTCCCATGGAATGTATGCAATATGTTAATTATTAAAACTATCCTACCAATTTGGTTTGAAACTGTCTCATTGCTATTTGTTTCTCAATAAAATTATGGAAAATAAAAAAATAAAAGAATTCCTGTGGATAGAGTACATGATTTTTAAAATACCGATGATTCACTAAATGAGATAAGATCTAATTTTTGTAAATAAAAAAAGTATGTCATGCCTGTAATCCCAGTCACTTGGGAATTGAGACAAGAGGATCAATCACATATTCAAGTCCAACCTGAGAAACTTGGTGAAATGCTGGCCCCAGCCACCTGCACACTGGAGACGCAGCTCAGTGGCAGACTGCCCCTAGATTCAGTCCTCTGGGATAGAGGGGCAGGTCAGGCAAATACCTAGATTGAGAAATTTCCGATTCAGATAATAGATTATGTTGCACACATATCACATCAGGTAAGAAAGACTAAGATTTAAGCAACTGATGTTTTTTCTTTCAAATACTTACTAGTCTTTATAATCAGAATCCTGGGATAGTTATTTACTGGCTTATTATCATAATTTAAAAGGTGAAAAATAACATTGTAACAACAGTACGTTTAAATTTTTGTCTAAGAATAATTACAATTTCATCACTAAAAGTAGGTGTATGGGGCCGGGGAGATAGCTCATTAGAATAAGCACTTGCCTGGCAAGTGCAGGGTCCTGAGTTCAATCCACAGTACAGAAAAAAAGAAAAAGTAGGCATATAGCTTTATGCTAAATAATTACTAAAAAAATCTAAATGTCCATGAATATTACAAATAATTTGTTTCTTAGAACCTTTAAACTGAAAAGAAAATTTTCATTGTGATCTATCTTGAACTTAAATTAATTAATATATGGCACAAAGAAAATGATCCTGGAATTTCTAGGACCGATCACACTTGATTTTTTTTTTTTTCTTCCCAGAACTGGGGATTGAACTCAGGCCCTTGCGCTTACCAGGCAAGCACCTATTCTACCGAGCTATCTCCCCAGCCCCGCGCTTAATTCTTAATTTCTGTGAGATTCAACTCTATTTATTCCAGAAGAATAAGACTCCTTGTATACCAACATCAAGCCGTCAGCACTCCATTCCTCCCACACCTTACCAAGCATTTGTTCTCTAGTTTTTACAAACACTGAGCTCATATTACTGTTTCTAAATTTAAAAATAAAAATCAGAAGCTCAAAAGTAGTTTAAAAATGCATTTTACAGTTCTCACTCCTTTACAAACATGCACACCTACAGGCACACAATCATTTTAGAAGAAAGGACTGAACTACCAAGTTGGATTTCAAAATAGGGATCTCAGGAGAGCTATTTATGATCTCCAACATATCTGCCAATCTGCGTTTATGTTTCAAGATGTCTACTTAAGTCAAGTTTTTTTGAAAATAATGTAACCCATGGCATCAGTTTCTCTACACTCGTAAAGTTTAATGTATTTATTGATACATATATATATATATATAATGCAGATTTAAGATTATCCAAATACTTACAATTTGAAATATATATATATATATCAAAATATAATTAAATGTCACATCATAACACAGGAAAATAACCTTTCTATGTGTTTATTATAAACTGATGGGACTCAGACTTAGGAGTTTAGACACAATAGTCAAGCACCTTAATCACTGAGTTGTATCTCCAGCCCAAACTAGCTATACTTTATTAAAAAGAACTGATCTGAAAGTTAGAAGAGTAACATATGACTTTACTGTCAATTTATAAATTTAAAAATGTAAATATCATTTAATAAAAATTAACATTTCCTCAGTTCCTAGATTGCCTGATTTTACATAAGGATACTCATCTGTTCTTAAAGATTGTTTTTGCAACTCAACAATAACAACAAACTTTATATTTATCAGAAAAGTTAAAGTTTACTTAACAATTACCTTTTCTGTAATAGGAAATAGAAGTAACACTGCACAGACTGGTCTTGGTACCATGCTAAGGAGTTCAGGATCCATTCCATATACATCAACAAACTGCCAGTTTGGGTGTAGACCTAATTGTTTCAGGAACTGGTAAAAGAAAAACGACAACAACGACAAAATTATAGTGTTAACAGGAAAATGACCAACATGTACTGTTTCCAATGTAAAAAAGAAAATTTAATAAAAATACTACTGATGTTCAATAGTATTCATCAAAGCAGTATATATCAAAACAGCAGGTGTTATAAATACATGTAATCTTTGTTCATTATATCATGATAAATTAGGAGCTTAGGGGAGACACAGTAAAGTAGCTTTTCCATAAGTAGAGTAGAAAAAGATAGCCATTTGTTTTTTAAACAAATCAATTAATTTCTTTATTTGATACAGGGTCTTGCTATGCAGTTCAGACATGTAGCGATCCTGTCTGAGCTTCCCCAGCGCTGGGATTACAGGCATTTCACCAGCACACTGGGTTTCAGGGCCAACAACTCTGAACTACCTGCCTAAGACTAATGGCTTTAAATGATAAAATTAAAGAAAAATACCCTAAACATTGACTAGAGGATTTAAATTTGTTAATTTTATGTACCCACAAACTCATACCATCATAAAGTTATACAACAAGATGGTACATGAGACCAGGGAGATGGCTCAGTAGAGTAAGTGCTTGCCTAGCAAGCACAAAAGTCTGAGTTCAATCCCGGGTTCTGCAAAAAAAAAAAAAAAAATAAAAAAAGAAATTCTTCAACCAGCAATCTGCATTAGAACAGTCTTTGTGCCAATTACTTCAAA